CCTTCATGCTCACCAAGCTAATATCAATGTACCTTAAAACGAGAGCCAATCGAAGAAAACTTGGAAGATTTGGCTGTCTCCTCTGGAAGTGGAGGGAAAAGGCCTGCCACGAAAGGACATTTGGAAACACCCAACAAATCTTGATGTTCAGGAACCACATAGTCCTTGTTTTTGTCCAAAAATTGGTCAGATTGATATTGGACCTGTAACAAAGTGTTCCCAAGTTAAAACCGGAACGTAAAAGTATCATATATTATATTATTAGAAAGTGTTGATTTCGTATAATTTACCTCTCCAGCATAATGAGCGATGGTAAAATCCGTGCGAGAAAGTTTTGGCTTTATAAAGCGCTTGTGAGTTTTGAATGTCTGATAAAGCTTATTTGCAAATGTTTCATGGGTTGACTTGGGAAACATGCTGGAAATAGAAAAGAAAGAAAAGCAGTTAACAAGAATGAAGAAAAGAGAGAAAAATAAAAGTTAAATGCAAAACGTTAACGGCCTTGCATTTAAGGAAGAATGAACAGATGAATAATAGCTCACCAAGCTTCATCAAGGAGAGCAACTATTCCGCCAGGTTTCTGTGAAAGGAAGCATCATATGTGAAAACTTGTAAGGATAAAATTGACTGTTGATTAATAGTACTGAATATCTGAATATTCCAGTAGTGATTGTGTGTGTGTGTGTGTAACTATATATATAGGTAGGTGATTGTGTATGTGGATGTATATGAAGGAATAGGAGAAGGAATAACCTTTTCAATAAGATCCAAAACGTCTTGATTATCGACAAACTCAATGTAGCTCCAATCAATCTGCTCTTTTGTGTATTCTTCTTGTTCCATCTTGAAGACGTGCTGAAAATATACAGGAAAAACTTAATTTAAATTAAAATAATAATAACAGGAACAATAACCCAAACAACAACAACAACAAAGCCTTTTCCCACTAAGTGGGGTCGGCAACAGGAACAATAACCCAAGAGCTAAAAATAGAGAAAGCAAGAGTTCAACATGATCTGAGCCATTACCTGATTGAAATGTTGCTGCAATTTCTCGTTTGTGAAATTAATGCAGAACTGCTCAAAACTGCACAGGTTGATAAGCTAAAATTAAGTTGTGGAATACCATCAACGCATGACGGGTGTTTGATATGAAATGTCTTCATTAGCGCATTTTCAGTTTCTTTTATACTAAAAAAGACACAGAATGCACGTATGTACAGAACTTCAAGTACTCTAAGTGCGGTATTATGCTGAATAGTTGTTACCTATTGGTCTTAAAACTTTCAAAACCATAGATATCAAGGACCCCAATCAGCGATTTCGAGGTAGCATCTTGTCCAATTGAGACATTAATTTTATCCACCAACCTGTATAAATTTAGAACCACATCAACATTTAATTCTCACTCCAATATGCTTCTAGTGGTTAATAGAAAATTTATTCATAAACCAGATGTTAATCTGATGATGTTTTAAGCTATAGTAACTAACCAATCAAACAATCGAGAATATACTGTCTTTGCTAAACCATCGCGGCTAATTGCTGCACTTTGAGGATCAAGACTTCTCTTGATAACTTCTTCAGGTGTGATCATGACACGCTTACATAATGCATCTTCCAATGCATCAGGGTCACACCTGAGGTAATGTTATTATCACACTATAACAATATGAAAACAGACTGGAAACAGATTACATGGGTAAAAGCACGAAGAATACATACATGAGAAGCTCTGAAGTCATCTTAAGATGGAACTTTGCTTTATCATCTTTTGGAACTGACGAATCAACTTCCGAGCCCTTGGAAAACTCAATATTTCCTAGATGAAGAATTGCAGCAACTACTCTAAAAATTGCTTCCTAAGAGAGAGAGAAAAAAGAAGGGGTGTGAGACGACGGTCTTTCTAGGTTCCACGTTAAAATGAAATTAAGAAGAGGCTGTACCTGCTCCTTAGCACTTATTCCAACAATATCCATAGCTCTCCTTGTGGCAAGATAGTCATGAGCATCACTTACACCAACCAGTTCGTAGCAACGTGACTGGTTAAGATAGTGAAATGATTTAGGATTTGCCAACTTGTATTTCTCAATTTCCTGTCAACATAAACAAATATTAGCTCGAAGTTTAAGAGCGGAAATTTGCAGCAATACTTTGATTGTTTTAATCGAAGTCTGGTTCCTACATGATCTTACCTCCTGTGGTGCAGCACAAAGAAGGTAGAAGCAGTGGTAGTTCCGTTCAGGATCAGAAACTTGGCAAACACGAGACCGTTCCAGAAGGTAGGTTCTAATGGCTGCTCCTGAGATTCTTCCTTGCTTATCAAATTGAATTTCAACAAATTTACCAAAACGACTGCACCAATACCAAACAAAGAGAATACCACGTGAATTTATCCGAACATGATAATAATTCAGGAAAAGTAATTTATGCCAGTAAAATGACTGTTCAAACTAAGACAAATTTGACACAAATATGTACTAGCTTGATATCGTCTTGCCTAGAATTGTTATTTCTAACAGTTTTAGCGTTGCCAAATGCTTCCAGAACTGGATTTGACTGCACTCAGAAAAGAAAGAACCATAAGAATTTCATAAGAAACTAATAGAGCTTGACATAGAGAAGGTAATATGGAGTTATCAAAGCTTAATATCAATGCTGATCAAAGGTAGGATAGAAATCGTACTTCAAGAACTTGCTGTTCAACTGTCCGTCCTTCAGTTGCAGCCCGGCCACCTAGAAATGCAAGGTACCTCATAAGCATTTTTGTGGTCTCAGTTTTACCTGCTCCACTTTCACCACTGACCAGAATTGAATTGCTTTTTCCCTCATTGATCATTGCCCTGGTTTTTTCAAAGAATTAACTTTAAATATTCGGTTTATTGATCTTATGGAGCAATACATAGCATAGCATGCACATAAGGAATGAAGGTAACCTATATGCAACGTCCGCAACTGCAAAAACATGAGGATTTAGTTCTCCAAATGGCGCGCCCTTGTATTGTTGCATCATGTGACCATCGTAGAGATGCGGCAGTCTTTGGAATGGATTAATGGCAATAAGGATATTTCCAGTATAAGTCTATCATGATAGCAACAGAGGCATATATTATTGCAGGATTATAGAGAATAAGAATTCCTAATTTGAATAAAAACTCCGTAAGTAAATTCAAATGAAGGGCAGAACATGTACATAGATTTCATTAAGTTCGTATCTAGTTTTTAAATTCTGCAAAACTCCAGGCTCATGCAGATAAGATAGCTTTGTCATGTCATCAACTCCAGCAGCAGGAGCTTCCATATCTTTTGGATATATTTTCGCCAATTTGACAACCATCTTAATAGCACAAAAAAGTGAACAGGAATCTCGTTAGAGTACATTTATATAATACTAGAAGATTTTCTTAAAATAAACAAATTTCAAAGACCAAAATATATATCCAGAAAGAAAAATATCAAATTTAGTAAAAAGAGTTTACCTTCTTCCCATTGCTACTCTCGATCTCAGCTTCTTGTCCAGTAATCTTTGACACTTGGCCATCAATCCAGGCCAATTCTGAGTCTTCAACCCAGACATGAGAACCTACAATGATATTCACTGGTGTTCCCTGTAGATGAAGATATTAAAGTATGAATAGGTATACGAATAAAGTGCCATAAAAACACACAAAATTCACTGATAACCATTTCTGAAGACTAATTTGAATGGCTTTTATATGAATTATGGCTTAATATGCGGCCAACGCCTTTGTCCTATTGTTGTTGCTTATCTATGAAGTCTATGTTAGCTATGCCCACCACCAAAAGTATAGTGTGATGGTAAGCGCACTTGTCTCTCTTGCACAATGCTTCCTTTGAGTTGTCTCATAAATTGTGCCGTTAGAGTTATCTCATAATTTGTTTCTTTCCCTTGAGAAGAAGCAACAGGTTCCCAGTCTGTTAACCACAAGCTAACACATACACTAAACGATTGTTCTGCTCTGTATCACAAACACTCAAATCACATGTTTGATCGAAAAGAAAACTTAATCATTTGTAATTAACAAACCCAATTTCTATATACCGCAAAACTTCTAATGAAGATGTTGTCTTAGACTCCAACAATCACTCGAAATTTCAAACTGAATCAGAGAACCTAATCTAATCCACAAATTAAAGCAAGAAACAAAAAAACTTTACAAATTTTATGAAAAATCAACCGAAACCGCACATACCATTTTTTCGTTCTAAGCTGCCGATCCAAAGCTCATCAATTCATTAAGCACTTTCATCAAACATTTCAGCTGCATGACATTACACAACCATCAGCTCCCAACTCCAGCTGAGAAGTGTTCCTCTCCACCAAACACCATAAGCGAAAGAGACCCCTTTTTCTCAAAAGCATCAGACTTTCCCTACGAAACACGGGGGTCAGAAATGTCCGATCAACGCGCCAGAAAGCTCCATTTTCCCGGGAAAATTGGCAAGAAAGTGAAGGAAAACCGAAATGGGGACGAGAGATGGATCGATTAGCTAGGTGGGAAACTTTTGTTTGTGTGATTGTTGTGCGTTGTGTGTGTGGGAAGTGAATGTGGATCGAGCGGATTGAGAGAGTGGACATTCTTCACAAGGGCCTCTTGTTTCGCTTTGCTTTCCGCTCTTTTCGCGCCAATTAGTGGCTGCTAACCAAGTCTTCTCCTTCTTTCCTTAACGGTCACATTTCTTCTGCCATGTCCAGGGGTCGTTCGAATCTTGTGTGTCCGGATGTATTGTAAGAATTTGTTACCCGTCGTTTGTGCCGTTGGAACTTGTTACCCGTCATCTGTGCCGTTGGATCGAAAAAGTAATTTCCACAAACTCATTATTTCTTTGTTTCTTTGTGTACATGCTGTACGTGTTTATTTTTGTCAGTTGATTCTCTCGTTCTTGGATGAGGAGTTGACCTCGTCAGAACAAAATATTCGTGTCGATCTTAAATTTTCGTGAAAAATAAATTTTTCTAATGTTCTACTTTCCATCACATGTTCGCAAACAACAACAAAGCCTTAACGAAAAATAAAAAACACCGTCTGACACATATACACGAACATCTCAAACCGCAGAACGAAAAATTCAAATGAAACCCAAGGCACGACAGGGATCCATTTGATACAGATTTTCAAACAGTTTGCTCGTCGGAAATGGCAATTCAGCAAGCCGTAGTCTACATCCAGGGACATAAAGAAGAGCGTGGCCAAGACGGTCTATAGAAAGGCACCACTGTGCTGTCATCCCATTGAATCGAAGGGTCACGACCAAGATATCGAATCTCTTTAAGCTTCTGGCTTTTCAGGTGGAAGAAATATATGTTCCATCCAGCTCTTATGAAGATATACTCGGAATTCTGATGAAGGAATGCCATAAGTTTAGCTTCTTTCGAATGCTTTCCATGGTCTGGATTCTGCTTCCACATCGCCTTGAAACCGAGTCTGTACCTCAAATTCCACTTCTTCTGTGACTGCACATTGCCTGTGCTGATCGATGAGAAACTACTTTCTCCGGCCTCGAGAACCCATATTTCCACGCCAGACGTACTGCTCTGACCATACTGCAAAAGCCCATCTGAAGAATGCCCAAGAACGCACTCATCATAATCTTGAGAAATCCTCCCTTCTGGTAATTTAAGCAGATTTATACGCCTGTTTCCAAGACGTGGATCATAAATGGCTAGGTTTCCCTGGGTTGCAAACCAGTGTAGGATACCATTAACTACAGTAGCCTCTCTCCAAGGACGCAATGCAAATGTTGAAGAGCAAGTGAGAGTGAAATGCTTCCATGTACCGCTGATTGAAGAGTAAGTCTCAATGGAGACAGTTTTAGATTCCCGTCTGCAGTTACATTTTGCCCGAATAACCTTGTAGTGGACTGCGTCATTAAAACAGTCATCTTCGACAGTGAGGAATGCCATGCACAAACTTTGATAGAACTGCTGAGGTTGAGGAAGTTTGCATAGCTGTTTGCTGACTGGGTTCCACACCGTATATGTCATTGGATGGCGGCCAAAAAGAAGTAGGCCATTGGAAGTGCCAAGAAAGTAACCAAGCTGTTTGGGTGCAGAAACCATTAGATTATCACCTTCCTCACAGGCTGACAAAAAATGAATTGCGGGCTCTGTTAGGGGCCGCCGCATGCCATATTTAGATATTCCGAGGTAAAGATGGTTGCACACAAAGAAGCCCAAAAGATGATAATTTACTTTCCATCGAGCATGGTAATCACATCGAAAAGAAGGGCTACATATCACATGAAGCCACCTCTTCGATACGAGTATTAAACTGAAAACAGATTTCTCTGGCAGACGGAGTAGGATCTCATGTAGGATGTCATCATCACAGGTGAATACTTCATGAGCATCATTTGCAGACTTCTTTTGACCCGTCATAATATCATCTGGACACATAAAAACGTGCTGAGAGCATGCTCCGCTGTATCAGTACAGTTCTAAAAATGTGTAGCCAAACAATAACTAAAGCACCTCCATTGACATAAAAGGATACAAATCTAAAAGTCACCGGTTGTCCATATTTAGAAACACTTAAAAGCTCATGTCAAACAAATACTGATAAACTAACGGAAACTAGAACGCATTTTACAAGGAGAACCAAGTAATGACACCCTAGCAATGACATACGTTAATTTGATCGATATTCACAATCTTTTACCAGAACCCCGAAAGCAGCATATCAATGAAACACGTTTCAAATTCATATTTTCACCTAAATTCTATAATTCCAAGTTTTCCCACACCGTGTAAGCAAAATATGCAATCTAAAAGCAAACTAAGAAATCCCAAGAGAATATCTGCTACAATAAGTTTCACATTGCCTATTCAGGAAAGAAATCGGGTTTAGGGGAAAAGAACAAGCTTGAACACATATGACCCCGCAACCATATATCCGAATTGCGAAAGGGTAGTGCTATGCACACACCCATTTTTACCTCCCACACACCCCTTTTTAATTGTTGTTCTTTGATCTTCTCCAATTCATTCGATCCAATGACTTAAAATTAAAGGTTGTGTGAAAAGTAAAAGCTTGAACACATATGAGCCCCGCAACCATATATCCGAATTGCAAAAGGATAATGCTATGCACACACCTATTTTTACCTCCCACACACCCCTTGTTAATTGTTATTCTTTGATCTTCTCCGGTTCATTCGATCCAACGGCTTTAATTAAGTGAAAAGTAAAAATAGGTGCGTGGATAGCACCGCCCTTGCGAAAATTGCAACAAATCCAAGTTCTAGACTTTTAAGTAGTTTCTAACAATTGAAACCTAGTTATCACCGAAACAGCGGAATCGTCTATAATCTGGTTACCCATTTGCATGCACTAAATTAATTAAGGAAAAAGACCTGAACCTTCACGAGAAAAACCCAACAAAAACACTTCCGACAACCTTAAAGATTTCATCTTGCATGGTCTGATAAGAGGACAACATAAAACACCCTAACCAATCGAATCGAAACGAAGGCGTTTTCCAAGCTGCCATTTTTGCCCCATTTCATCAAATTACAACGAAAGGAGAAGAGAGAGAGAGAGAGAGAGAGAGAGAGAGCTTACCTGAGAGCTTGAGCGTCTTGATGAATTCCGGGAGCCGCGAGGGCGGAGGAGGAGGAGCTCCGGCGAGTGATGTTTGGACTCTCACAGTGGCATAAAAAAACCTGTCGCTTTCTGATCTCACTGGTTGGGGGTTTTGGGCCACCTATTTATAGTAAGGGGTCCGATTCAAGCATGGTTCGGTAGGAATGTGACTTTACTCGGGTTATTTACACCTTTTAATTAAAGGTTTGAAACTGCCTCCAAAATACTACAGTCTCGTAGTATTTATCTTCGTTTGTAAGTAATAGGTTTAGGTTTGCTTTTCGTTAAATGCGAATTTGAATTATATTAGTACTAGCTTATTGTGAGGTTTACCCACTCCCCTTCCAACCACCAATATAGATAATATTGTTTGTTAAAAAAAAAAAAAAAAACAAAGGTTTGAAACTTTGAAGTGGTGTTGACCAAAGAAAAAAAAAAAAATCTTTCGAAGTGTTTTCAATTTTCATAGCGGAAAATGATATTTCAATTTTCTCATATTGTATTCTGATTTTCGAGTCGGCCCATTGAAATTTGATTTAACAGATGCAATTATTATAATTTTTAGAGCGACTCCCTGTTTGTAGTCGTTTGATCAAATTTCAACAGTCCGTGTGATTTGCTCAGAAGGCTCAACCTCCTAAGCCCAGGAGGGGATCCGGTTCCTTAGTTTTTATGTTAAATTGTTGACACAGTAGTTGTGAGATTCGTTTTGAGATGATGTAAAACTCACGCATATATTATTGGGGGTCAAATTGTAAGAGTGGTTGTGATCGATTAAGGATAAGCTGAAGATCCTATGTGGTGCAATTGCACCAAAAAGTTTTTTTTTTTGGAAACTTGCACGAAAAAGTTTTTGAAAGTTTACAACTTTCGTCGAACAGGACGATTGTGCTTTGTATTTGGTTATTTATTTGAAATAATGAAGGCCCATACGTTCAAGAGACGACGAAAGCAATGGTTTGACCCACTGATCTCTTTGGACCGTTGGTTGCACCAACAGGTAAGCCCATGTCCATGCCATAAAAGCTTCCCACTTACAGCTATGGAGATACAACCCAAGAAATCCCCCATCCCACCCACCCCGCCTCGGCAGATCAAAGAAAATACAAGAAGAAGAAGGAGAAGAACATCATGTTTCACTACAAAGAGGTAAAAGATTCAATTTTTATTTCATTTTTTTGGGTTTTTTTTCCCATGAAAAAGTTTCAATCTTTACCCATTTCCTGGTGGATGAATGCATTTTGTCAGGAAAAAGAAGCAAAGAAGGAAGCATTCAGGAAGTACTTAGAATCCAGTGGAGTTCTTGATGCCCTCACCAAAGGTTTGTTGAAGTTTCGGACTTTTCCTCATTTATTTTTGTGGGTTGGGTTTTTTTGTTGTTGGATTAATTTCATGTTTTCTGTAACTTTTTTCATATAATTTTGTGAATTGCTAACCGAAGATTTGACGCAAAACCGACATTCTATGATTCATACAGACGGCCCACTTGGTGGGAAAAAGGCATTATTGTTGTTGTTGTTTTATATAATTTTGTGATTTTTTTCTGGGACAGTTCTGGTTGCTTTGTATGAGCAGAATGAGAAGCCTTCCTCTGCACTTGAGTGAGTTCATTTCTTTGATTCTGTGTTCTAAAATTTATTTGAGCCTAGATCAAGTTTTAGATTTTTTGCTAGCTCAACTCAATTAGGTTAATTTCATGTGGATTTGTTGAATATTTGCTCAAGAATTCAGATGTTATTATTAGCTACATATTCTTCTACATCAAAAGATAGATGTTAGCTTTTACATCTCGTTCTCATTGCACATTTTTGCTTAGATTGTCAACCCCATCGGACCAGTTTATAATACACCTTGAGTATGTGTGAACCGTGTTGAGAATTGTGAGAGCCTTGAACATATGATGGTTGCTATGCAATTACGTGATCCTTGTTCGCGAGGTTTAGTCTGAATGCTATTTCAGTTGTGTCAATTCTTCGTGAGAAATGGTACTTTTCATTGTCAATTTGTTCTTTTTGCTTGATTGGTGGTAATTTTTCACATTATTGAGGACCTTGAGGATGTATAATCAATCAGTAATCATCGTATAAACTGAACCATGATGCTCATAGTACTTCTTTAAGTGTTTTCCCTGGAACCGAGTGATATAAATCGTTCATGAACAGAGAGAATTGTTGTAACTAGGATATTCCGCTTCCATCTACTACTGTTGCTGTCTTGCAGATGTTGGGTAGTTGTGCTTAATTGTGTTTTGCTGCTTAGTCTAGTTTGAACTAACAAATGTTAAGACGTACTTTGATTTTGATATTCAATTTTTTGGCAGGTTTGTTCAACAAAAGTTAGGGGGTCCATCTGTGTCTGATTACGAAAAGCTACAGGCTGAATTGTCCGAGTTGCAGAAAAAGTATAGCACACTTTCAGCAGCATACCAAGAAACATGCACTGAGGTAATTTCTGGAGTTTGTAATCCTCCTTTACTTTGAGATTAATATGAGCATTGGGTAAGAGGCATTGTTAAGTTTTGAACAACATATTGCCTATAGGGCGATAAGTTATGTTAAATAAAGTTGTGAAACCAAGTGTTAAATTGCAAAGGCAAGATATAGATATAATTCATGAACTCCGTAGATCTTACGATTATGTGATAATTGGGGGAAGATAGGCACCAACTCATTGGATGACCAGTAAGATGCAGGTTTCGCTCAATAACTTTGATAACTAAAACGTTCCTTGTGGTGGCATGTTTGAGATATGTATGATACTGATTGCATTGGCTTTTGATCTTCGTTTTAACTGTAACAACCTCCTGTTTCGTTATATAACTCACCAAATTATGCACCGTATTGCAGCTAGAGGGACTTAAGAGCTCACAATTACTTAACGTGGCCTCGCTTTCTATCAAAGACAAAGAGACCGCAGGCGAGGAGGCCCTAAAGGAGAAAATCTAGAAGTGCGGTAGATGATTGTGTAAATTGCTAAGCTACGCAAAACCTTTTCGTGTGAATATATCAAACATGTGACAGGAGCCATGGTTTCCTGGCTGTAGTATCTACAATACACGCCAGAACTTCGTACTCTCTGTGTATGTGCTCGCGTTAACTTGTGTTTGTGTCATCTCTTTCATCATTGTATGTGTTTGGTGTGAGTTCTATGTAACTGATTCCCATGAGATATCTTCAAATTTTAATGTCATTTGATATTCTTCTTTAAATTTGGGAATCGGGATGTTGTGCAAGAAATAGCGATCCTTGTTTCTTGCTCTATTCTGCAATGGTTGTCCAGCATAATCTTGAGACAATGAAAACTCAAACGACACAAACTTGAGATCTACTTTTGAAGACAGTCACTAAATTGTTACAACAATACCGTCGCAAATGATAAGATTTGCCAACAATTTGTGGCAGAAATTCTATCCTTCTCTTAAAATGACATAACACCAGCTGCTACTGCAAGCAGAAAACAACGAGTAGAGCAACCGCGACGATGACCGAGCAAATTAAAGCCTGCACCAGTGCAAGTTTTCAGCACAAGAGGAAACAAAATGTCAACACCAAACATCAAAAGACAAAAAAATTGTAGGAAAAAATCTGCATAATTTCTTACTGCAATGGCAGATGCTGCAAGGCCAGGTCGTTCCCTGGGGTCTTTAAGGTGGTTCCCAAAGTAAAGGACTGTAGCATAATACCATAGTGGTGGAAAGGCAAATCCCAAGAGAAACCTGTCACAAGCATCGATCCTATAATCTTTAGTTCTGTCTACAGGACAAACACGCACTCAACAAGAACACATGTATAACATGTCTAGTTGTTTAAAACCACTTCTAAGAGTCCTACCAAACCGTTTGATTGATTTAGTACACCATATTATGGGTCGCTTAAGTATTGGTATTAATTCGTGTTTGTACCCTAGAAAAACCGCAAAAAAAAAAAAAAAAAAATCTCTAGCATCCTTCAATTCAAATTAAAAGTGAGCATCTTAATCCTAACACATATTCATCCATCAGTCTCACTTTATGCTTGTACTTAATGGAGGTGGATTGTGTGCCCTCCCATTTTCATACTCTTCACATTCTCTCTTGTCTGTGTGGTTACGGTTAAGCCACGTCAACATTTTATATTCTTATTACTTTTTATTTTATTATTTTTATAAGAAAATCAATATAAAATGTTGACGTGATTTAACCGTTACCACACAAACGAGAAGAGATGGAAAGAGTATAGAAATGAGAGGACAAACAATCCACCTCGTACTTAATAGATGTTTGTGCTCTACAAAACACGCAAAACATCAATCACTATCGTCCCTTAAAAAGAAAGAAAAAAGTAAGAATCTTGAACTAGAAACTCACGAGAACCATCCAATGCCACAACCGAAGCATGAAAGTGGCTTATCATACATCCCATCAAGCAAATCTAATTCTCCTCCATCAACTTCAAGTTGCACCATTCCTTTACTTCCATGATCTCCACCTGTACCAACACATTATGCCGTGAATATCTACGTTGCTCCAGAGTATTCTATACTTCGTAATTTTTATCCCTCGAGCGATAATCTCCGACCCTCGCAAAGCAGGGAACTTGGGGTCGCTCTTATAGCGAAAATCCCTTAGGTATTTACTACAACGCCAAACAAGGGAAGAGAGAAAAATCACAGTACTGACCGTATTGCTGCTTCAACGATGTGATCCCAGTGTTGTTCTTCATGCTTGCTCCTTCTACCAAATCCGTGCTGCTCTCATGCATGATCAAATCGCTGTAGTTAGACACAGAAGTCTCGAAATTTATCGACGTTTCGAAGAGGATCCATGCTGTTATGTGCGGTTTTATGTTGACAAACTGCTGGAGAGAAAACCAGAAAACGAAAAGGTTTCGAAAGGAGGGAGAAAGAGGAACAAAAGGATTCACTTTTTCGGTTTCTTCTTGTTTTGAATAAAACGGTTTCCCTCTTTTTAACCGAAACAACTGCCACTTTGCTTTTGGATTTTATTGAACAAAGCATGTCACTTCATCATTTACTAACCTCTTTCCGCACGCGTAATTTTCTTTTCTTTTTTTATGTTATTTTTACTTGTAATCTTATTTATTTTATATATTTTTATTTTTACTTGTAATTTTCTTTTCTTTTTTTATGTTATTTTTATATATTTTTATTTTAAATTACGAATTATTTACCTTTTTGTCTTCCGGTTATATATATATATATATATGTGTGTAGATATTTTAAAGTCTAAAATATACTTTTTTCACTCATCGTGATTCATGTTGTGAAATTTAAGTATTAAAACTAAAAGATTCGTCCATCGAATGCATAATTTTACTAAGGTTGATTGATCAAACTCATATGTGCTAAGAGCAATTATAATTGAACTATTTTGACCAAAAAAAATTATAATTGAACTATCATTATTCGACAAAAATAGCATTCATATCATTGTTCTTGTGGTGTACAAACCAAAAAAATAAAATAAAAAAGTTGATATTCAATTTGCAAATATTTCAACAAACACTGATAATTAGTTATATCAACTTTTGAGCATATAGCCCCACTAACAGGTAGGTATCTTTTGGAGAAGCAACATAAGGTTGGTGGTGACTGGTGAGGTGCCAAATTAACTGAAGTTGTCCCACCCAAACATTAATTGGGGATTGCTATGGCTTTCTTTTTCAATCTACTATTTATTTTTTCAACGTAGATTCGTGCAAAATATTATTTATAATAAAAAAAAATGTATAATAAAAGTAATTTTTGTAAAGTTTTGTGGACTCGATCTAACATTAAGATGACTTATATGTCGAGCACGTCAACGACTTACAAAAGGTCACACTTGTAATGAAGAAACAAGAGCTAAAACTCGACAAAGGGCTCAATATTTATAAAATATGAATTTCTTATGTGAGTTACACTAGTTGGAAAGATAGTAAATTCGTGTTCTTATACTCGATTTTGCATCGTTTTTTTGTTTAATTTTTTTATACTGCTATAATTTACTCTAAAATTGATAGAAACTTGAATTAAGTCGCACAATAAGATTGACATAATGTGGTATTGAATCTGCTGAAATCTAAAACCTTTTAGTTACAGATGACGAGTAACACTAGTTTGTAGTTTGTAGTTTAAAATAAAAGTTTATTTTTTTGTTGAAAAAAAAAAATGTAATTTGTGAACTTGTTGACTGGAGTCTAAATGTCAAATCAAACCTAAAACCCAATCCGACGGCCAAAATCACACCACACAATTAAAAGCGCAAACCAAGAAAACCAACCAAAAATAAAATAAAAAGAAGAAAAATAAAATAATTATTTTGTTTATTCGACACAGACGCTCTCTCTCTTTCTCTCTCTCTCTCTCTAAAACTCCGAATGGAACCGAATGAAAACCAACTGAGCTCCTACTTCCAACACCCCACCACGACGACGGCCCCCGCCGCCACTTCCACAGCCGCAACCACTCCCTCTCCAACCAATGGGCTCTTGCCCAACACCCACTCAACTTATGGGTCCCACATGTTGTACTCTCACTCGGTGCCCTCCTCGGCGGTGACCTCGCCACTTGAGCCCGCGAAAAGGAAGCGGGGGCGGCCCAGAAAGTATGGCACGCCGGAGCAGGCTCTGGCGGCCAAGAAGGCAGCGACGACGTCGTCTCACTCCTCGTCCTCCAAGGAGAAGAAGGACCAACACGGCGCCGTCTCGCCTTCGTTTTCTGGGTCGACCAAAAAATCTCAGCAGTTTTCTCTCGGTGGGTCGCAAATAAATACCCTTTTAGAATTTTTTTTTTGTTTTTTTTTTTTTGCAATTGGGTAGTGAAATTCTTCAATTTTTTTTTTTTTTGCTAATTTCTTCAATTTCGATTTGGGTTTTAAGTTTTTGGTAGCATTGCTGTGGAAAGATTGAAACTTGATGGTTATGAGTGGGTGTTCTGGAAATACCCTATTTGTGTTTCGTTGTGAAATTTCGTGTTCTCGGTGGGTTGTTGCGAATTGCTTCGATTTTATTTGTGTTTTTTTTTTTATTTGCTATGTTTCGCAGTGGCTGCCCTGTTTTCTGTGTTTTTATTTGTTAATGGTTTATTGTGAATACGTTGCAATTTTAAAGGTTTTGTTCCGATGCTTAAATTTATAAGTGTTTTCGATTGCATTGTTCGGTGTTCTCACCTTTTGGTAGTGTTCAGTTTAATTATTGCTAAATGGTGGGCATAGTTGGCTGTCAATTTTAAAATTGGAGTAGAATAACTTCCCCATCTGTTTGAATGATAAGCTTTTGGGAAGTAAAAAGAGAAGATAAGGCAATTTGGTAACTTTAATTTACATGAACCAAAATCTTCCGAGATCACACTTTTTGGAGTGGAAACTTTGGTTAGCTTGATAGTAAGTTATTGATAAGAAGCTCTTATGTTTTTGCTTTTGAAGGATAGTTACCTAGTGTTTAGTTTCGGTAATACCGAGTATAGTTTTTAAAGTGATGTCAATACTGTAGTCCAAAGTGGCTTGTTTTGTGGTATAAATAATCATAATTTAAAACACTCATGTGGTACTCTTAATTGGTTGATGCAGGCAATGCAGGGCAAGGTTTTACACCACATGTTTTAACTGTTGCTGCTGGGGAGGTATGAATTTCCTAATGAATTCTCAAAGAAGGAATACCATGACAGTTTAATTCATGTTTTTCCCCTTCAATCAAGTGTGTGTGTGTGTGTTTTTTTTTTTTTTTGTTTTATAAATTGCAGATTCTGGAATATAGCTCTTTCTTATTTGATTGCATGAATGGATTTTTTATTTTCACATTGTTTTAATGTGTAACGGGCTGATATGGGATATAGAATATTTCCTTGAGTTTGTTTGTGGGTTTTGTGAACAACCTTGCAGAAGTGGTTTCCTTTTTCCTTTGGGGCAGTTACTGTTGTATTTTTACTACATCCATAGTTGCCTGAACTTACCTTGTTTATCTTGCCCAAACTTACTTTTGGTGCAGTAGTTATACAGTTTTCCCGTTATTGTGTTTTCTTTATTTGTTATGTGCTCACACAGTTTAGTGAAATGTCTAACAGGATGTGGGCCAGAAAATCATGTTTTTCATGCAACAGAGCAAGCGTGAAATATGCATTCTATCTGCTTCTGGTACCATCTCAAATGCATCTCTCCGCCAGCCAGCTACTTCGGGAGGCAACATTACATATGAGGTAATTTTTGTCTTCAGCCTTTCCAAGTTTCAGAAACATTAAGTATCTTGGAATATATTGTATTTGTGCTTTTGGAGTATCATATTCAGTGCTTTGTTCAAGGTATGTGTATATGAGTGGATACTTGTGTCACTGTGATTATAAAATCAAATGGCAACGCTTTGGACTAGTGAACCTCCCAGGTGGTATTAGATTCTCGGTGGACAAAAATAGGGCAACTGTAACTTAGTTGCTCACTATTGGCAACTAACAGGTGTAGTTATCAGTGTGGGTTCAGATGGAGGTTAAATGTACAAGTTCAGCCATTATTTTTTTGTGTACATGGATTTTTTTATTGGTCCGTTCATTCAGCTAAACTGAGATACGGCAAAGCTGCGAGCCTGATAACAATTCTCACTTGCTTCTAATTTATTTTTAGACGTATCTGAATAAAAAAATCTTTTAAGTAAAATATATTTTGACTGTATAGTTCTTATAGTGCCCTGTATATTCTACACATGAAGCCATCGTATGATTGATGAAAAAGTGCCATCCATAGTGATAGGTGGCTGAATTTTGATTTTAGTAGTGTCCAAGTTATTCAGGTAGAGTTCATTGCTACAAATTATAGTTGTGCAATGTGCCATTGCTCTATCTCTGTGTGTGTGTAGTTAGGCAGGAGAAAAGGGAGGAAATGACGACGTCAAGATTCCTTTCTTTTGATTTCCTTTTTTGCTTGGCCTAAAGTGGTTTATGTGGAAATAAAAAATATTAGTTTCAAAATATGCCTATGCTTTTCTATCTTAGAAATTTTGGACGTGTGAAACAAAAATTTAAATTTCTTAAAGGTCTGCATATTCTTGCAAAAAAAATATTTTGTTAGTTCCTCCAAAGATTAATATATGTCTGGCTAAGTCCTTTATAATACCAGACAACTTGACGGATGGAACTGTGGCTTCTTGATCATCTCCCTCATGTTTAGTTCATCAAAGTGTAATGGTTTCTTTCTGATGTTAGGGTCGCTTTGAGATTATTTCGTTGTCTGGATCTTATGTACGTACTGACCTTGGAGGGAGGGCTGGTGGGCTCAGTGTATGCCTATCTAATACAGATGGGCAAATCATCGGCGGTGGAGTTGGTGGGCCCCTGAAGGCTGCAGGCCCTGTGCAGGTAATATTTTAGCAAGTTCACATTTTGTTGAATAATGTCTGTAATATTGTTTGAGTGCACAACTGTGGCATAAGATACTAGTGTCTTATGTGTCTCTGCATCGAAGCAGTAGGGGGTTTGGATGTCATCTGATGCTCAAATTGATTTTTCCATGTTATTTGGCATTGGGGCATTTGAACCCTTTCTTCTTAACTGAAATCTCTGCTCGTTTCAGTTAGCTTGTTTGAAAATTGGTTCTGCGGTATCTATGTAACACTACTTCGTTGCACCCACAGGTTATTGTCGGAACATTTCAGATTGATGCCAAGAAGGATGCGACTGCTGGTGTAAAAGGTGATGCTTCTGCTGCCAAGTTACCATCGCCAGGGGAAATGATGAGCGGAGGCTTCCACCCAACACTCGACCCTTCTGGAAGACCTCTCGTCAGGGGGAATGAAGATCAGCAACCTATGGGGGGAAGTCACTTCATGCTTCAGGGCATGCATGTCGCACCTTCACGGCCCACAGATTGGAG